TCAACATAGTACTACTGGTACTATTTGGTGGTTCATCACACGAATCCTGCAGTAAGTAGTTTGTAACCCTGGTGAATTCAGTGGGATAAGTAGGCTTAATCTACTTATAACTAGGGTTATAAGCCACTTCCTAACTGGGATGAACCACCAAGTAGTAATGTACTATTCCGGGTGCGGGCCCCACGAATCGTACATGGGTCAAACAAACACACTTATGTGTGTATATATATATATATATTGTTATAAATATGGAATATCCCAAGTTATGCATGGTGTGTTGTGAAGGTTATAAATTATAAACCACTTATTAGGTGGGATGCACATCCAAGTAATGATCATGGATGATGGTAATCCTTGTTGCAGGTTTTGTAAAATATCCCATGATAATCAACCAGTAGTAGTTTTGAACACTGCTCAATTGAGGATATCTATCATATTATCATATGGTTGAGAAACTCCTGGCCCCTTGCCTCCCCATCTAGTAGGAAATGGCCCAGTTCGTAGCTTCAGTTCATAGGTCTACTGGGCACTGCCCAGTTCTTGTTTCTGCTAAGTTCATGACTCGTAATCTTCGTCTTCAAACAACTTCCAAAAAGGTTTAGCGTTGGTTACAGGTTTGTGAAGTTCCTCTATTTTCTTAGATGAAAACCAAACTCATGAATCAACCAGAGTTGGGTTTTGTTTGAAAATGTCGGGGAAAACCCGAATTTCCCAATTAAAATAACCATTTTGGGAATAGACCAGTCCTAAAGATTCGGGCCAAGACTCTTGAGAACGTGGGCCTCAACGTGGCAAAAGCCATGGATGACGCCATCTGCACGACGACTTTTTGACCCGGCTGCGGGCCACCAGGGATCTCTTTGAGCCAAGCTGCTGCCACGTATTTAGGTTGCATTCAGTTTAATGTGGGTAATTAATCCCTAAACCCAGTAACAAACCTACCATTTGGAAATGGTCTTTACAGCCCACAAACATGGTGATGACTTGGGGATTCTCTATGATTGGGTTTACCACATTGCTGGGGATAGGATCGAAACTAGTGATTTCACCCAGTGGATGGGTTCAACCAACTTCCACCTGAGGGTCCACTTGGTAAGTTCTTAAGTGACTATCGTCAGTAGCTATTGGAAAAAGGAACTGCCCTTGGAGATGAATTCCACACCAAGAGTCTGTTCAATGGCCATTTCAGGAACCGAAACCGGAGGTACCTACCATATATAAGGCCTATTTTTCAGGCCTATGTAAGGGAATATCCCCACAAAATATGGCCTTATATGGTACAGTACCTCCATTTTAGGATCCTGGAATTCCCATTGACAATGTGGGAAAAGCATTAACACAACAACCATTGAAATGTCCAAATCGATCCAACTCTGAAAGCGGAAATCTCAAGAGTCACTTCTCTGAGCAAAAAAAACATTTCGAGGTCAAAGTTAGCTATCTTCCAAACATGGAAAATGCGTAAACCGATCAGGAAAATTCCATCTGGTAATTTAACATAGCTATTGAAAATGGCCATTTATAGTTGATTTACCTATCAAACATGGAGATTTTCCATAGTTATGCTAGTTTACCAGAGGGTAGACCCGTCCATTTTGCCCTGGGTCTTGAAAAATCCCAACCTTCGTTGCCTCCCACTGAGGGCACTGCTGGATGGGATGCCTAGGAAAAGCATGGAAAAGCAAGCAGAGCTGAGGCAGAAAGGAAACAGCCTCTGGTTATTGAATATATAGCATCGCAGCTATGGGAAATAACCTATTTGTAGTAGATTTATCATGATGAGCCTGTCAAAGACTGGTGATTTTAGCTAGAGTACGTGAAGTAGCCAGGGGGAAATATGGGTTAAGTTACAAATGGTTAAAAATTAAAATCAACAAATAAGAATATATCGTGTATCAATGATCAATGGATTTATCCGGATCAATTAATTTTGGTTGGTGGTTTCAACCCCTCTGAAACATATTAGTCAGTTGGGATGATTTTTCCCAATATGGAAAAAATGTTCCAAACCACCAACCAGAATTGCTATTGTGCATAGTGCCATATCCCTTTTTGAAGCCCCCCATTTCGTGCGAAAATCTAAGGGTGTTTGATGTATAAGGGGGGATTTCAATGTATATATATATATATGTATAAAAATATAATTTATATAATTATATGACTATATTATATATATAATTATAAAAATTAAATATAATCATATAATTATATATATATAACATTTCACCAACCTGAAACAAGGCTGGTAAGGTGATTTTAAGTGCTGCGTTCCCTTACCATCGAGGGGCCTATGCGGGACCTGTCAGAGGAGGCACGGAACTCACCTATAGCAACCCACAAAGATGGCAAAGTAGTGGATGTATAATATTGTATATATATATATATGTATCTATGGCAAAGGAAGTATCTATATACATATATACACAGTAACTATCAGTAACTACATTTAATTATACAGATTTTTAAATATACGAACAGGTATTTTAGACTACCTCCGGGAAGGTTTTCCTTGGCCCGCCCAGCCATATCTATCTAAAATACTGAAAATGTATTGTTCCATCTATTTGGGTGTTCGAAACACAAGTAGAAACACATAGAAACACACATTTGGAAACTAGAAACGTCGGTGGAGTTACACCACTATGCCGCTTACTTTTAGGGACCATCATTGACCATGCTTCACTCGGGCAACCCTTCCATGATTTACCCTCTGGCAAACTAACATACCTCTGGAAAATCACCATTTTTAATTGTTTTTAATGAGTAAATCAACTATAAATGGGGTATTTTCAATAGCTATGTCAAATTACCAGAGGGTACTAATGAACCAACCTCTTGGAATTTGGGACATCTATGGCGCTCAAAGCCACCCAAAACCTGGGAACCAAATGGAACCAATCCCAGGTTGCAATCCCAGAGGCCAAAGGCAACCACTGCAGACGCCATCATGCGCTTTCAGCACACGGTAGTTCTTGCACTTTGCCCAGTCCCAGAACCTCAAGATGTGGCGGCATGGCAAAGAAAACATCATTGTTTACGGAAATTCCCCCAAAAGCACTGGTGATTAACAACGGTTAATGGTCGGATGATTGATAATCCCGTCTCCATAATATGAAATACCCTCCATAAAATGATTATATCCAATACCAAACCATATATTGTTTTCTGGGGAGTGTTTAATATCAGTGGGAAAGGATCAAACCTCTGGAATGTAACATACAGTACTGAATTATGCCCAATTGGAATCACTAGCCTCTGGCTGGCTAAACTTGCAACCGACCCATCCCAAGGCAACACAGGTAGTGTGGACATGTCCCAGTTGCATCATCCCATTCTTAATCTTCGTTTATCCATTTATCCACGAAAAATTGCTGGTTTGCTAGTTGGCTGGTGTTTTTCTTTTTTTCCTCTGAAATACATCAAAAACACTCAAGGATTAGTTTCTACCTATCCAGTTGGTTGGAGATGAAAATTGGTATACATGTATTTACTGCGAATGATATGTACATATATATATATATAATATTCCCATATATTCCCAGTATATTCCCATGGTTTATGAAGGATGAGTGCAACTATCTATCCAGGGGATCCAAGGCGCCAAAGCTTGCCATCGGCATCGCCGGACATAATCCAGCGGCCATCCGCCGACCAGCCCGGCCTCGGAAATCGCCAGCCCAAGTGAACCCTGGAGCCATGGTGAAGAGGGGGGGACATTCACAAGAAAAAGTGACATGTGCAAAAACCGAAAAAAGTAAGATAACAATAAAAATTCAATACATGACATACATATAGTTTCTTCTATGGAAAGAGAACCAAACATGCAACCATTAAAACAAAAACCGACCTCTAACAGCCCAAAATTTGATATTTCGACAATCAAATCATGGGATTGATACCAAAAAACAAGGTGGGCCAGAGAACCCAAAAGCAAGACGGCACACAGCACGCCTTTTCTTGAAAATCTTGGGGTGTGGCCAGCTGTGCTCTGCACGAAATCGACGTAAGATCTTTACTCAAACATCGTGCGCACTGATGGTATCAGGGGCCACGATTCACCACAGCATGCTGTGTCAGCTACGCCTACAGTCTTCTAGTCGCTATTTCTGTTAATGTAATTAACTCTATCCCATCTGTCTAGTCGCTATCTATTTCTGCGTTCTCGTTTATTCCTCTATCCCATCTGTCTAGTCGCTATCTATTTCTGCGTTCTCGTTTAGTTTGCTTCGCCGCAGAGGGAGCGAGCACGAAGCGTGGACGGACAGAACGAAATGAAAATTAAACGACAGAGGGAGCTGACCAAAAGAGCATGAAAACGAAGATATATATGAAGGTGACAGATGGCAAATGATCATGAAAAATGAGACATGATAAAAGATGGGTAAAGACTTCTCTGTACAAAAGCTTCTTTGCATAAAAGCTTCTGCAAGTAAAAGCTTCTGTGGGCAAGAACTTCTCTGTGTAAAGGTTTTTGGTGTAAAAGCTCTTGTGTGTAAAATCTTCTGTGTAAAACGCGCTCTGTGTGTAAAAGTTTCTGTTTGCGAAAGTTTCTTTGCGTACCAGCTTCTGTCTGTAAAAGCTTCTCTGTGTTAAGGTTTTGCTTGTGTAAAGCTTCTGTGTGCAAAAGCTTCTCTGTGTAAAAGACTTCTCTGTGTCAAAGCCTCTGAGTGTACAAGCTTCTCTGTGTAAAAGTTCCTCTGTGTAAAAGCTCCTCTGTGAAAAAGCCGCTCTGTGTAAAAGGCTTCTGTGTGTAAAAGCCTCTGTGTGTGTGCAAGCTTCTCTGTGTCAAGACTTCTTTGTGTAAAAATTTCTCTGTGTAAAAACTACTCTGTGTAAACGCTTCCGTGTAAACTCTTTCCTGTGTAAACGCCTCCGTGTGTAAAGACTTCTCTGTGTAAACCCGTCTGTGTGTAAAAGCTCCTTTGTTTAAAGGTTTTTTTGTGTTAAAAGCTTCTGTGTGTAAAACCGTCTGTGTGTAAAAGTTTCTGTGTGTAAAAGCTTCTGTGTGTAAAGGTTTCTGTGTGTAAAAGCTTCTGTGTATTAAAAAAACCTTATGTAAAAGCTTCTGTGTAAAAAAGCCCCCTGTGTGTGTACAAGCTTCGCTGCGTAAAAGCTGCTCTGTGTGTGTGAAAGCGTCTGTGTGTACAAGATTCTGTGTGCAAAAGCTCCTCTGTGCAAAGACTTCTCTGTGTAAACGCGTCTGTGCGTAAAGGCTTCTCTATGTAAAGGCTTCTCTGTGTAAATGCGTCTGTGCGTAAAAGCTCCTCTGTGTAAGACTTCTCGGTGTACAAAGCTTCTGTGTGTGAAAGTTTCTGTGTGTAAAAGCTTTCCTGTGTAAAAGTTTTCTTGTGCAAAAGCTCCTGTGAGAAAAACTTCTCTGTGTAAAGGCTTTTTTGTGTAAAAGCTTCTGTGTGTACAAGCTGCTCTGTGTTAAAGTTTCTGTGCGCCGAAAGAATGTCTATCTGTAACACCTTCTGTGTGTAAATCTCGTTTGTGTAAGGACTTCTCTCGTAAAAGCTCCTCTGTGTCAAGACTTCTTTGTACAAAAGGCTTCTCTCTGTAAAAGCCTTTGTGTGTACAGGCTTCTCTGTCTCAAGACTTCTCTGTGTAAAGACTTCTGTGTGTAAAAGCTACTCTGTGCAAAAAAGCTTCTGTGTGTAAAGGCTTCTGTGTCAAGACTCCTCTGTGTCTGTGTAAACGCGTCTGTGTGTCAAAGTTTCTGTGTAAAGGCTTTTTTTTGTGTAAAAGCTTCTCTGTGCATGTCCCTTTTCAGCCTTTGCAAACCGTTTGACCGGTCTTGGGACCATTTGACCAGTCTTGGGTCCACAATTTTTTCAGGCCAATCGCAATGATGGCATTTGTCCTGAAAAATCCCGTGCCAACAGCTCTGCCGCAAACTATTTTCAAGGTTTCCTATCCGTCCAGCATGTTGTCTCGCTCCCTCCAGCGAAGCTCTCCGCAAGCTATTTCCACGGTTTTGTCCCCTCCAGCATGCTGTCTCGCTCCCTCCCAGCAAGGCTCTCCGCAAGCTATTTCCACGGTTTCCTCTCCGTCCAGCACGCTGTCTCGCTCCCTTCCAGCGAAGCTCTCCGCTAGCTATTCCCACGGTTTCCTGTCCATCCAACATGCTGTCTCCCTCCCTCCCAGCGACGCTCTCCGCAACCTATTTGCACGGTTTCCTCTCCGTCCAGCACGCTGGCTCGCTCCCGCCCAGCGAAGCTCTCCGCAAGCTATTTGCACGGTTTCCTCTCCGTCCAGCATGCTATCTCGCTTCCTCCCGGCGAAGCTCTCCGCAACCTATTTGCACGGTTTCCTCTCCGTCCAGCACGCTGTCTCGCTCCCGCCCAGCGAAGCTCTCCGCACGGTTTCCTCTCCGTCCAGCATGCTATCTCGCTTCCTCCCGGCGAAGCTCTCCGCAACCTATTTGCACGGTTTCCTCTCCGTCCAGCATGCTGTCTCGCTCCCTCCCAGCGAAGCTCTCCTTAACCTATTTCCACGGTTTCCTCTCCGTCCAGGATGCTGTCTCGCTCCCTCCCAGCAAAGCTTTCCGCAAACTATTTGCACGGTTTTCTCTCCGTCCAGCATGCTGTCTCGCTCCCTCCCAGCGAAGCTTTCCGCAAGCTGTCTCGCTCCCTCCCAGCTCAGCAAGCTATTTCCACGGTTTCCTATCCGTCCAGCATGTTATCTCGCTCCCTCCCAGCGAAACTCTCCGCAAGCTATTTTCACACTTTCCTCCGTGCAGCATGCTGTCTCCCTCCCTCCCAGTGAACTCTCCGCAACCTATTTGCACGGTTTCTTCTCCGTCCAACATGCTGTCTCGCTCCCTCCCAGCGGACTTTCCCCAAGCTATTCCACGGTTTTCTCTCCGTCCAGCATGCTGTCTCGCTCCCTCCCAGTGGAGCTCTCCGCAAGCTATTTTCACGGTTTCCTCTCCGTCCAGCATGCTGTCTCGCTCCCTCCCAGCGAAGCTCTCCGCAAGCTATTTGGACGGTTTCCTCTCCGTCCAGCATGCTATCTCGCTTCCTCCCAGCGAAGCTCTCCGAAACTATTTCCACGGTTCCCCATCCGTCCAGTTGTCTCGTTCCCTTCCAGCGAAGCTCCCCGCAAGCTATTTGCACGGTTTCCTCTCCGTCCAGCATGCTGTCTCATCCTCTCGCGCTTCCTCCCAGCAAAGCTCTCCCCAAGCTATTTCCACAGTTTTCGTCTCCGTGCAGCATGCTGTCTTGCTCCCTCCCAGCGAAGTTTCCTCAAGCTATTTCCACGGCATCATCCCGTCCAGCATGCTGTCTCGCTCCCTTCAAGCGCAACTTTCCGCAAACTATTTGCACGCTTTCTTCTCCGTCCAGCATGCTGTCTCGCTCCCTCCCACCGAAGTTTCCCCAAGCTATTTCCACGGTTTTGTCCCGTCCAGCATGCTGTCGCGCTTCCTCCCAGCACAGCTTTCCGTCCAGCATGCTGTCTCGCCCCCATCCAGCGCAGTTTCCCCAAGCTATTTTCCAC